GGGCCGAGGGGACGTAGGCCAGGGGTCAGAAAGAGCTCGTGGGGGCCCAGAGCTGGGAGGGAGGGAGGAGGGGACAAGGTCACCTCGGGGGGAGGAGGGCATGGCCGGGGGGGTCGGGGACGGTCACCGTGGACGGGCCGTGCATCTTGGGACCGTGTCTGGGGAAGGACTCGGGGGGCATTCGGAGGGGCGACAGCCGGGGGAGTAAAAGGCCCCCGGACACTCCCGGGAAGGTCTTCACACCCGGGGGCAGAAGCCTTGGGTGGCCGAGGAGAGCCTTGAATAGCGGTTGTCTTCGAGGATTTGGGAGAGGACGGTGCTGCCGGTAGTAACCCGAGCTGTTCAAAAGCGAGGTGGTGGGCCCCCGGGGAAGGCCATGCTGTGCTCTTGTCCGCCTTGGGCTCGGGGGGCTGCGAGGGAACCAGCTCCAGAGCCAGGCTTCGAGTGTCCTTGTGTGGCTGGGAGGGGGAGAGGCTGGAGGTAAAGCGACCACGTGGGACCCTGTTAACGGAGTCGGGGGGAGAGCGAGGAGACCCTGGACTTTGAGCGGTTCACGGGATAGCTGGAGCTGTCCGGAGACACCTGTTCATGTGGCTGTGCGGGAGAGATTTGATCAATCTCGTGCTCTTCCCCACATTTCATTCATGTTACATGTGAGATATGACAACTTCTACCCCTTAGGAGGCAGCAAGGTGGCACAGTGGATAGTGCTCTTGGTCTGGGGTCAGGAAGACTTGAATTCAGACTCTTCCATATGTACTTACAAGTTCTGAATGTGGGCAAGGAAGCGACATAATCACTGTCTCTCAGTTTCTTCATCAGTAAAGTGGGGATAAAAATAGCACCTGCCTCCCAGGATTGCTGTGAGGATAAAATGAGACTATGTTTACAAAGCCTTTTGCAAACTTTAAAGTGCTACATAAATGCTTATTATTATGATTATTGTTATTAACCACTGGTCACATTAACCCCACTGTGTTTGTGTTGTTCCGGGAGCCTCTTCAAAGTCTGATGGCGCATAACTTGGGCATTTGCAATTAGATTCATTTTGGGAAGGTTTTCAGAATTTTGTGTTATCAGAAGAGGTAGAGACATCCTGGGATGTCCCAAAGCAAGCATTGGGCATTACTTGTCTGGTCTTTTGTGGTTAGGAGGGGAAGAGGTCATTCAGGTAAGTGTTTTCATTCTTCTTTGGTTTGTCACTGCAGAGAGAAATTTACCACACTTGTCTGCTTATTCACCTCAAAACCAACCTACATCATGTGGTTACACAGTAGATAATATTATTACATAATTCCATTGGGAAGAGTGAAGGTAGGTCCCAGCATTGGGGCTTCTCAGTCACTGTCTTGTGTGTAGAAGGGTGTAGAAACAGTATGTTTTCATTTCATCTCTCTAACCTGCACGCTGCCAGACTGGGGATAATTGTAAAGCACTTGGTGCCATCTTGATGATGCGTGTAATGGGTGTATGTTCCTTGTGCCCATTCACTGGTAGACAAGTGATCTGCTTTGTTGACACAGATTCTGGATTTGCTAAGTAAGAAGGCTGGCATCTTAGGGTGAGGATTAGCGATCAGTGTTATAGAATCCATGTAGCTACAATGTTTGCATGAATTCCAACGGTAAATACTGAGCATCTTCCTTTCCTGCAAGAATTATCTGTTTGTAATATGTATGTATGTGAAGGTGCATGATGGGTCTTACGATAACAGGAAAAAAGTAACTTTACTGATCAGGTTGTGAGTACAGAGACTGATTTGAGGGAGCAGTTTCTCTTCAACTGTTCAAACGAGCTCAGCAGTGTAGTTGAAGGGCACCTCGGAAACCCTAGAGTCTGATGTCTCCTCCAGTGTAGGAAGCTCTTCCGGTGGCTGTGCATCCACACGTGCAACACTTCCCTCGTTGGAGAGCTCCAGTTAAAAAGTTCCATGTATTGAGCAGAAATGGGCCTTGTGACCTTTGCTTTGGGGTCCCAGTCCTGCCTTCTGGAGCAACAAAAAACAAGTTTGTGCCCCTTTTTTGCATGAATTGGAAGAACGAGGTTATTCCCCTTCTCCTCTCTCCTTAATCCTTCTCCACATTAAACACTCTGAATTCTTTCACTTTGTGAAAGAGCAGTCAGGGACTCTGTTGAGTCACTCTGTATTCCCCCCAGGGTGTGGTACAGAGTGCCCACAGGAGGGATGCAATAGGAATTTGTCTTCTTACACCTTCCTCCCCTCCCAAACTCAGCAATTTGGTGACTTGGCCTCCTTGCTGTTCTCCCTCCATCTCCTGACTCCAGGCATTTTCCCTTGCTGTCTCCCAGGCCTGGAATGCTCTCCCTCTTCTCTCTGTCTAACAGCTTCCTTCAAGTCCCAGCTAAAATGTCACCTTCTACTAGAAGCCTTCTGTGATTCCCTTTAATGTTAATGCCTTTCCTCTGGTAAATATCTCCGATTTATCTTTTTATCTTGTTTGCCCACAGTTGTTGGCATGCAGCTTCCCCCATTAAATTGTGAATTCCTTGAGTCAGGGACTGTTTTGTGCCTAATACTTAGCACGATGCTGGACACATAGTTGGCACTTAAATCCTTGTTGACTTGATTTATTGAGTGAAGGAGTGAATGAGCACGTCATTGGATTAAATGTGCCTGTGAACACACTTGGGGTGAAGCGAGGAATTGATGATGCCTGGCTCCAAGTCAGGGAATCCGTTTTTGTAATTGTAAAGCTTATTGTCTATAAATCCATCAGTGGTGTTTTAGGCATCAGCAAGACTGGACGTTAGGAAAAACACAATGGGGAGAAGAGTGAGGCCAGAGCAGCGCGTCAGAGGAATTAGTTATACTTTCCTGTATTCTTGAAATTTGGGCTGAACAAAGTGTTTCACACATTATCTCTGACTTAAAATGTATCTAGAAGAGGCTATCTTTTCTCCCCCACATTTTCAAAATTTCAGGGGTACTAAATACACCTTCAGCTTTGTTCG